GATTACAAGAATTCTAGGATATCAGACCATGGTCTGAATATTAGCATATAAGCTTTGCAGAAATAAAAATTGTGAAGAGCTGTAAAGCACTGTAAAAGTTCTGGAAAAAAGTATTCATCACATTTCTTAAAGGTCATGAATTATGACTTCCATGTTTAAAATACATTCGGTTCAATAGACTTATCCAATTAACTCAAGAGAAATCACATTGAGGCAAATTAAAATTTGATTGTTTAAAATACTAAGGAATTCCTTAAAAGGGATGTCACGGGGGGGGGTCTGAAAAATACTGCTTTCTACTTCCCTCTGCAGGGCTTATCACAGATTTGTGAATCCATTCCATCTATTTTGGTATATAAAATTATTCAAATCATGACTGCTCTTGTGTCACTACCAGTTATGCCCCCTTTCAAACTTAAGGCCTAGTATGCACACACACTTTTTATATCAATAAGTATGTTTCACTTTGGAACATGAATTAGTTATAAGTAAGTATACTGGTACAAGATCTACTGTAAACACTGTATTAATTACAAAGATGCCTTATGCCAGTATCTCTTATTCCTGTTTCTACTTTTGGTACATAGGTGGTTTGGTATCAAGGCACCTATATAACTGAGTAGACATTTAGGGGGGTTCTACCATTTCAACTATATTGGTACAGCTAAAGCAGTATAATTTCTTTTTACTGCGGACCTTGCTACTTGCTAATTTTGGGTGGCTCCTCGGGCTTTTAACCCCTGGACTGTCCACACGTTAACAACTTAAAGTTGTTTTAAACACTTGTTACACAGGCTCAAAGCAAGGGCAACTGGTGCCTTCTGAGTCTGGGGGCGCAGCGGCCGATCGCTAAGCTCAGAATCACCACCGGCGGTGAAACCAGTGACACCAGAAGTGCACTTCCTTTGGCACTTCCAGTTTCGTGGCTGGCGCTTCCAGGGGGTGCACGGCCAAACTCAGGGGGTTCACATGCACCCGCGTGCACCCCCTACGTGTTAATGGCTCAAAGTTATGCCACTACAGGGCAGGATTATCTCTGATCTGCACTACCCAGTTCCTGTTCCATTAAAATGTGTCCATCCAAGTTGAAGTCCTCCAGTATGCCAGGATCTCTCATGCACAGTGGCAATGCATAGTGGGTACATAGGAGTGCACGTGCACCCCCTGACAGCCAGCACTCCTCACTTAGGCGATGGGCAGGGTGCCCCCCCTGCGAGCACCAGCCGAGGAGTGGGAGCTCCAGGAGAAGCGCAGCTGGTGCTTCCTGGTTGGCAGGATCAGCCACGGGGGCACCCCCCCAGTCAATGAGATTGGCTAACTGGCCACTGGGGGGGCATGTGCCCCCCCAACTCAGGAGGCACCAGTAACCCATGCTCATACACCCTCCTGCCCCTCCCGCCCTTCCTTTCCCCACCCTCCCACCTGCCCATACTTTCATAAACAGGGATAGCAGCATGAACAGGGATAGCAGCCTGTTCTAGCTCACCAGCTCTGTAGTGGCAACTCACAGGTACAGCTCCTAGTCCTGTCCCTGCTCACCTGGCCTCTAGTGACAAGTCACAGCTGTGCAGGTAGGGGACAGCCAGAGATTTCTAGACTAAGGGTATGACTGCTTCAAACTCCAAGCTAGCACTAAAACCAATCAACGTTTGTGTGGCCCTAAAATACACTAAGCTAAGCCCTTAATTTCAATGACTAATAGATAATGTGGAGCAACAAATGGCTTATGGTTTGGCCTTGCCAGTAAAAGTCAAAACTTTAAAATTTAGCTCTGCAACCAAAAAAGTGCTGCTTAACTACAGCAAACAGTCACATAGTAATAAAAGATGGTAATCAGAACAGTGCTGAGGAGCAAGAAAATATTATATGCTTTCAGCATGTAGTTTAAAAAACAATCTAAATAACAGATTTGACAGAGGAATTTAATTTCAGGATTTATTCCTGGTATCTTTGATACGTGCAGATTAATTTAAAAGGAAATATACACCTTTGTGTCAAGTTCTTAAATGATAAGCAGGTAAGATGTGCACATCTTTCAGATTCCGCTAAGTATGCAAAAGCTATAACTCTATGTGCAGTTCAGTGGTTTGTGTGTATTGTTATAGGTCTGTATTTGAAAATCTTTTCTTAAATAAAAAAAATATAAAGGATACAATCTAATTTTGTCCCCACAGTGTACTGTAACTGTTCTTGAAATTTTGGAAGATAAGAATTAGGAGACAAAATTGATTCCAAATATAAAAAGCCCTGAATTAAAAGAAAAAAAAAAAAAAGGAAAAAAAAGGGATACATCCACAGGTACATTGAGGGGGGTGTATCCATATATAGGTATATATAAACACTGCTAAAGGAGTGTTAATATTGAAAAGCAAAGCAATCTTAACCTAGTAACTACCAGATCCTAAAATCTACCTATGTTCTAAACTGCACAGACTTTGCTTAGCTAGTATTATTACAGGTAGTATCTTGGCCACCAGAGGGAGCCAACTCTATTACAAAAATTTAGTAAAAGCACAAGTCTGGTTTTAGTAAGACACTTCCTGGGTTGTCCATACACTACAGCAGGTGCAGGGAATGTAAAAAAAAGTCAGAATCGTTAGGTCAGTGGCATATATACTGTACCATTCTTAAGGCCAGTGGGGTGTATATTTCCTTTTAAATTAATCTGCACGTATCAAAGATACCAGGAATAAATCCTGAAATTAATTTCCTCTGTAGGTTTCCTATCCTTTTGTCATTTGTCCATTGGTTAGAAGAGAGAGAAAAAAGTTGTTTACATGTATTTAGTGTCATAATTTAAAAACAGGCAACCTTACTATTTTAAGTAGTAGTGAATTGCTTTGCTGTTGCTTGACAATAAGCATGAAATATCAATATACATGTCAAACACGAACCTTGTTATATTTAAAGCCATTATACTCGTAACTGGTCTGCTTTTTGCTCCAGGAGAAGGGTGAAAAATCCGTCCTTCTTTATTGGTTGTGATGGCTTTAGAACGTTTGATGACATAGGGGTCAGCAGAATGGGAAGGATAAGGATCAAATGTGCCAGCTTTCATGCCACCTGGCTGGGTTAAAAAAAAGAAAAAAGTTCCCAAGTGTCAGATTCTAAAGTAATTGTTATAATTAACTTTTTTTTAAAATACGAGTCACACAGAACACTGCCTGGCAGATCACATCCAACTGAGTAAATGTAAGATAAATATGCACCACAGGTGCTTAAAGTCAATCTATAACTTAAAAAATGTGCACGTCAGATAATCATAGAAAATCATGGAAAAATAGAGTTGCAGAGGCCTTTCAGAGGCCATCTGGCCCCAACTGATTCTTCAAGGTAGGATTGTGTCAGACTGTCCCAGACAAATGTTTGTTTAACCTGGGCTATGAGTAAAGAATCTTAAATATAGAAAGAGAATTGTAAAAATCAAAAACATTAAAATGTGTGGTTAGATTGTGGCAAAGATGAAAACTCAGAAGTCACTACTCGTTTGAAGCAGTGCACCCTTGCTTGTGATAGAAATAGTAGAAAATGCAGCATATTGCAAAGCTCAAACATTATCATCATCTCAGGTTATCTAACAATGCCCACAGCAAGACAAGAAACACCACTGGCTTGTTTGTATAAGTCCTCCCTCTAATACTACAGAAATTGCCATTTTAACTAAAATTTCCCATGTTAAGTCAGTGTTTGTGAATTTTGCCCAGCCACCTAGTTTTGGAAGCTGTTTGAAACCATTAATGGCCAATAGCCCTCTGTGTCAAACAAGTCCCTAGCACACAGCTGGACAAAATATGGCCTGTGGGACTAATCCAGCCCTATTGATTGCATCTGGCCTGCGGCTGTCCCTACAGTGCTCCACATGGGGCCAACCCCACCCGCTGCCACCTGGGGCAGCCCACACTGTACTCCAGCTGGCACCTGCTCTGCACCTGCCAGTGGCACGGCAGCCCCGGCCCCAGCCAGCACACACAGCTTCCCAGTGGGGCTGCTCCCGCTGCTACAGCAGCCACCCAGGTACTTCTCAGTTTCACCCCACCAGCAGCTCCTCCTCCTGCCCCCGCAGCACCACTCTGGGTAGCATGTAGGGTAGGTAAGGCATGGGGACGCATGCCAGGCACCAGATGCCTAGCCATGCCTGCCCCATTGTGCCGGGCTCCAGCTCCCAGCCACCTTCCATCCACTCGGCTGCCCAGTACAATGAGCAGCCACCTGTAGGCAGTTAAGTGGGTAGAAGGCAGCCTGGCTGGGAAGCTGCGCATGCTGGCCAGAGCTGTGGGGCCATCAGCAGGTATGTGGCGGGGTGCAGGCAGGAGTGTAGCACGGGCTGCCCCAGGTGGGAATGGGTGAGGTTGGCCCCTTGCAGAGTGCTGCGGGAACAGCTGTGGGCTGGATGGGGGGGTCAAACCACACCTTCATCGCACTGCCCAGGAAAGCTCTGCTGCATGTACCCTCTGCCCCTTTCTCCCCCATCCCTCTCTCCCTTCCTCCACCACCCCCAGCTGGCTCCCGGGACTTAGTATGCAGGCAGCCCCACCTCTCCCACACATCCCCCACCCTTCCCCTCCATACCCCACCAACACACTCACCCTACCACACCCCTCTCCACATATCCCATACAAGAGTAAGACTTTATTTTTATCTATTATGCAATCGCTTCTATATACACTATTCAAAAAACAAAATCAGGACAAAAATATTTATTGAAATTAAAATATGTTATAGTAGATGTTTGATTCTTCATATGTGATTTGTTTTTTATCTAAAATTTGTTAAAATGATATCTCCTGAAAGATGTTGTTTGCAGCCTTCGACAGCTCACCAACTCATAAAGTTGTCTGCCAGCTGAAATAATTGCCCACCTCTGCCCTAGCACAAATTGCAATGAAGCTTAAACAGAGATAAACTGGGCTTAAGGTATACTACTACAGAAAGAAAAAAAATCTATAAATGTATAGGAGTTAGGCCATTTATACTTGATTTTTACTGCCTGTGGAACACAAAGATGTAATTTGCTTTTGAATTTCAGTAACATTCTTTCAGTTGTGGAAATTTTGCTTCGTCCTATCTATCATACAGCCTTCATTTTTAATCTTTTGTTTGGAATATGGTTATCAATAGCTTCTGCATCTGTGTAAGATCAAACTGGTTTTCATTGTTTCATAAATTGGAATCATAGCTGATAAAGTATACCCATCATACCTTGCATAGATGAGGAATATATATGTACCTCACTATATAAAGAATATGCATATTCCTCACTTAAGCACCATCTTCACCTAACCCACTTCAAAGAGGATCAACTTAAATGAATGGCTTGCATTCAAAAGCTTGTCTAATTCTATCCCAACTATGCAGTTAGTCCACTAAAAGATACCACCCTAAGAAATCCTTGCCTCTCGCTACATAAAAACATTTCCAATAAAAGACCAAGAAGTTGCTTTGCATCTTCTACATATTATGAGCAAAATTTTTTATGTGAACGGCATGAAATATTTGGATTTTTATATTGTGCTTCTAGCAGAATATAGTAGAATAGTAGGTGGAAAATAAACTCACCTTTTTAGAAGGAGAACTTGGTTTAAAGGGTGATGCAATTGGCTTTTCTGGGGGTGACTTCTTAACTGGTGGCAAAGGTTTGTCATCATGATATGGATTCACATCAAAATACTCCCGCGGATAGAGACTGAGCTTGAAAGGCCCTCCTTTAACTAAATTCTGATGTACTTCATGGGCTTTCTGTAAATTAAATAATTATTTTACTCTTGCTATTTTCCTCAGGAAAAAAAGAAATTTAAATTTAGTCTTGAAGAACACTTGCTATAGCTTCCTCCGCTACTGGTTTGCAGTGGTTTTCACAAATCAGAGGGTCCACTATAATTCATAATGGCACAACCCAGTAAGCATAAAACATGCTATGGAACAATGGAGTACTTAAGATTTTTCTACACTGTGTGGCCTATCTGTCCTGCTTGCAAAGCCAACCACCAGCCAACCTCACCAAAGGGCTGCACATAATCTCTACCCACATCCATACTGGTAATGTAGTTATACAGGTTTCATGAAGCAAGGTCATAATTAGAGGAAGGGAAGCTATCTATTAGATGTCACATCTTTCAATTAATTTTAGAGCTTTGAAGTGATGCCATACTAACAACCCAAAAGGATGAGCAAGAAGCAAGATTTTTACTAATACCTTTTATTAGATTGCTGGAGATATTACACAAGCTTTTAATCATAAAAAGTCACCTCTCAGGTCCCGTAGCTGGTTCAGCAAGAGATATTACCAAGCAAATCCTGCTTCTCACATCCCCTGGACCATCACAGCAACCCTATCTAGTACAAGAGGATGAGGCCCTTTACTTATTCTTGGGCTTCTCCAAAGGACCAGCATGCAGTGTTTATCTTTCAAGGTCTGGAGGATGCCTCAGATTCAAATCCATTCATGGCACTTCCCTTTTCTGTTTTACTAGCATAGCAGAAAGTTTGTAAGAAGCAAAGTTTTGATCCAAGCCTGGGTACCACAATACTAATAAAAACTAATTTGTGTCTCCCTAAATTAGGTGTTTTGGCTCAAACTGAGTGATAGGACACATGCTGGAATGTTTCCTGATAATAAAAAGGGAAAAGAAAACAATCATATTCTTAATGTAATTTTTAAAAAAATAAAGCCAATTATCTGTGGTCTGGTTTGCAAATAAATAAATACTGTTCACTTTTTGATAAAAAGCAATCTCTTGGGATTTGCAAATAACAATTAAAGAAAGACACAAAGTAATTTTACCTTTGCATTTATCCTTCCTATTTCATATACGTCAGCTGAGTGTGGATACTGTTTACCTATGGTAAGATTTGGATATCTGTATGAAGAAAATGAGTAATGAGGCTCTCATAGCTCAAAAGCTTCAAAGGTTTTAAATACCATGAAATAGTTAATGAAATACCATTCTGGAAGTAATACTGAATGTTTTACCCAAATCCAGTCCCTTTCTTTCCAGGATTTGTGTACAAATTCTTTCCAGGAGGAACATATCTCTCTATGGCTTTTAGCTGAGCACTGAAATATGGAAACGGACCTCCTATGGTTCCAAAATAGCTACCCAGTCCACATCTGAAATATAAAATAAATACCTAATTAATATTTATACTTTATAAATAATTAGCAAATATTTTGTGCTTTCTGGCTTGAAAATGAGGAAATTATAGTAAGTGAAAAATAAGCAAATAAACCTTGCAAATAAATTGTCCTTTTTGCATGTACAACACTGATTTAGTGTGTAGTGTGGCAGCAGCATACAAAAGAAGTAAATGGGGACAGAGTTAAAGTTTTGAGGTACCTTAATAATGAATGTCCACACTTAGCAGGTCTTGGCTGTTGGCTTGTTAATTTTAACCTAACCTTGTTTTCATTTTTTTAATGTCGTATTTGTTTTGTAAGATTTTTCCCTTGTTAGATATCTACAGTTGTTACTCTGTTTTACCATTTTTTTTGTCTTTGAATTTCCTACTCCAGTTTGTTCCAAAAGTTTTCAAGGTATCCCCAGGGCCAGCTACTCATTCAGGAGAATGCTGTCAAGCTTGCGTGAGGAAGTCTGCAAGGAATTAAGTTCAGCTATACGTGTCCCCAAGATGCATTTTGCCAAAGAGCCTGTAGGCTTTGATGCATGTTTTACAACAGCTCATTCAGCCATGTGTGTTCTTATAAACTTATAAAAACGTATCTTAATACATATACACTTCCCCCAATACTCCCCAAACTAGTGAAAGGCACTACCTATTATCAAAGGCAATAGCAAACATTTAGGATTTTGCTCTTAGAGGAAGAAAATTTGGAATTATTTTTAAAAAGTGAAAAAACCTCTCTCATCATCCTACGTTTCATTTAAAAAAAAACCCCACCAGGTCTAAATACTCGTTTTGAATTTGGCCTCATAAAGTTACCTTTTGAGAGAGTGTTATACGGCTCAGACCAATGAACAATTATCTCTCTTCTAGGAGGAGGCAAGGAACACAAGCCAATCTGTAGTAACTGTTTTGTCTGTCTGCTCCTACCCTGTGATAAACTAAACCAAGCAAGTTACCCCTGAATGAGGCAGATGATAAATTTTTGTAGTTTAGCTTCAACTTTCCACAGGACATAGCAGAGGTGAAATAGTAACAGTGGATTCAGCTGACCCGCAGTAAGCCCTCCACCCTCCCCATTTTTCAGCTCATATAATTGTTGCATCTATCTATGTCCATCCACAAATAGTTCTATGTAGGATGTAGAGAGGACATCTAACACAGGTTTTAACAAAAACCTAATCCCAACTAAAACGGTATTTAAACTACAGATTTAAACACACACACAAAAAAATCAGAAGTCTTACAGGAAGCTTAATTTGCTCATACTGAAATCAAATGGTCTTAAGTAGTGGTGCGCAACCTTCCAGTCTCACAAGCTTGAAGAGTGGATTGGGGCTGGTTTGTGGGCCAGATCCCATATGCAGGGTCAGCCCATAGGCCGTATCATGCAGGGTCAGTTTGAGTCAGATCCTGCATGGGGTTGCTTCACGGGTGAGATCTGATGTGCTGGCCCAAACCTGCATACCTAGATGCAATCACACACAGGTCAATCCCCTGCACCTGAATCCAGCTGCAAAGCAAATCTATGTACTGGACCAATCTTGCATGCAGCATCACTTTATTGGCCCTCCAGAGCTCCCCGTAGGCATGGAAATTTGGCAGCAAGGGAGAAGCACTTAACACTACCACTACTCCTGCACTGCCAAATTTCCAGACCTAGGGGGAGTCCTGTGGAATGGATGACATGGCTCCATGAGCCAGAGGTTGATTACTGCTGCTCATCTTTGTATATTTGCAAGCCATATGATATACTTAGTAATATAACCCCAAAATTTTCTATTGATCAGCCCTTAGCTAATAAATCAGCATAGCTCTATCAAACTGGCTGAGGATTTGGTCCTAGTTAGGCTAGTATAGTTTAGCTCAGTCCCTATCTGCTCCTGGCTGGCTGCCTCCTGGCTTCAACTTTAGTTAGTACCAAGAGCTGGCAGACATGTGGCTGGTGGCTGGAGTACCACCCAGTGCCAACAGGGGCACATGGCAAGGTGCTTTGATCTGGGACTAAATTTAGTCCCAGGATGCCTGCACGTGTAGATGCTGGCCTACTCCCACTTACTGTACAGTAAATTGAAGCCAGCATAAATGCATGTGTAGACAGTCTCACAGTTACCCAAATACCTATATGAACATAATGACCATCATAGGATGAGGAGGGTATCCCTTTGGTCTAGAAAAAGGTATAGCACACCACAGATGGCAGAGTGGGAGAATTCTAGATTAATATAATGTGCACACTTCAGAAGCTATTCCATAAGGCTTTACCTGCCTCATCTTGGCCCCGAAATAGCACAAGGGAAGCAAAACCTGCTGCAATAAATCTGTGACTGACAAATTAAAAAAGAACCCCAAGAGAAATGGTTTAACGGAGGACCTCTAACCTGCTGGTGATAGAAGCTAAACTAAATAAAACTATGAACCAGGATATTCAGAAGGCACTACAAATGTGGAAACAGAAACTGGAGCATCCTTAAAGGTATTGGCGGTTCACTCCCAGGCTCAGGGCAATTCAGTACGATAAATACATATTTATTTACATCTTTACAATACATAAAGAGCAAAGGCACACCTGGCATCATATTACCATATTTTCTCACAAACAACATGCCCTGAGATATAATACATATCTTGTTTTTGAAAGGTAGAAAGAAGGAAAAAAGACCTTTCCTTGTAGTAACTGAATTACAGCAGCTAGAAAACAGCCTGCTCAGTGTTCTCCTCTGAGTCATGTGCAGAAACTGTTTTTACTGTATTTCTCACATATAATGCACACTGCAATTTCCAGCAGCAGTTTTTTAAAAAGAGTGTGTCTTGTACGTGTGAATGTAGCAGAAAGCCCCCTTTTCCTCATGCCTGCATTTGCTCTCCCCTCTTTGAATATGTTTTTCCTCTTCTACCTTTTCTTCCTTCCTCTTTCTTTCACTTTAAGATAAGGAATTGTGTTTTAAAATTTGTGTGTGCACATTTTGTATCTCCCCGTGTATTTTGGTATTTTTATCTATTTGTGTGCCATGGCATTTGTAGCTTATATTTTATACTCCTCACCTTTCAACTATAAATGTGTTTAGTAACAATGTTAACAAGGGCAGGAGTCAAACTGCCACTTCCCTGTATCAGGCGGGCCCCTGAAAGAGCGAGTGAATCAGTGATTGAATGTGTAACACTGTAGCAGCAGACAGCAATTAACACCTAAAGAAACCGCAGATCAACCAACAGAAGAACTCAATAGAAAACAATGTAACAACCGGGAAATCTCTAAAGGTCACTGATCAAGGGCTAGAAGCCCTGGCCTGAGTTAATCAACGCCGGGGACCAACTTTTGGGCTGAATATCTCCAAATCGACCGCTCCCAGAGCCCTATTCAAAATTCATCAATGGACTCCCAAACCTGCACGTACATGCGGACGACCCCTGGGGCTGACAGATGCCATCCAGTAGCCACCGAGGGGGAAGTCCCACGAGGGTCAATGACCCCTGGATTGGGCAAACCTGAAAACTGGGGAGTCACCAAAGTCTGCCAAGGACAGATAAAAAGCAGTGAAAAGTGACCCGCAGTGGTGCCCTCTTGATCTCCAACTTGACCAGCACCCGATCTGTCCAGCCAGAAGAACCAGCCGGCGACCCCCTTCTGGAAGATGATACCACGCTGAAAGAAGCCTCGACGGCAGACTCCAGTGCTTGTAGGATAGGTATACCTGACTCTTGTAGCTTGCTACTGTGTGTGTGCATGTGTGTGTGTGTGGGGGGGACCAGCTCCAAGGTTTATGATTTAACTTCATTACAGTGTTTCAATCCGCCTAATAAACCAGAATTTTAAGGATCCCGAGTTGGACATTTGTAGCCAACAAGAAAATATGATATTCTGTACAGATGCATCACTACAGCAGTCCCACATCAGATCAACACAAACATAAAGAAAAGTGACAGTATCGGCATGGCTTTTTTTGGCTGATATGGCCAATAATTGTCCCATGCATACGCACAGCCTCAGCGCAGCACACAGATGGCAAGGAGTGCAGCTCAGCAGCATGGAGAGAAAGTCTGTTGTGAGGGAAAGGGTATAGGGGAAGGGAAGGAGTATGGGGCGGGGGGGGAAGATCGAGGCCCCACCGGCGAGGGAAGGAGTGGGGCTGGGGCAGGGGCAGGCACTGCACAGTTGGGGTGGGGCATGGGATGGGGCCGTGAGTGACTCATCCAGGGCGCGGGGCGGTGGGCAGCTCCTGCTGCTGCACACACCCTGGGAGAGCATGAGGGCATGTGTCCCCAGATCTGTGTGTGGGGCAAGGGCGGGCTGCTGCTGCAGGCTGGGATGGCACCGGACTCTTCCTGGTTGGGGGCTGAGCCAGGCTGCGCTAGTGGCGGGCAGCAGCAGTGCTGGGAGCAGAGGCTACAGCAAATTTGGGGGTGGCTGCAGCCCCCACCCAGCGCCACCACCTGCCCCGAGCGCAGCCCGGTCCAGCCCCCACCACCAGGAAGAGCTCAGCACTACCCCAGCCCCAGCCTGCAGCAGCAACCCACCATTGCCCCGCACACAGATGTGGGGGCACATGCTCCCCATGGCCTTCCAGGGTGCGTGCAGCAGCGGGAGATGCGCACCTCCACCACAACTCCATCCTGTGCTCCACCCCAGCTGGGCAGCACCTGCCCCTGCCCCAGCCCTTCTCCGTCCCTCACCACAGGGGCCTCGATCTGCACCCCCATGCCCTTCCCTCCCCCTTTGCCCCTTTCCCCACAGCAGACTTACCAGCTGGATGCCACTCTCTATTCTGCCTGGCTGTATATCAGAATTGGATCAGTATTGGCCAATATGGCTCGCTAAAAATTGCCCATCGGTATCAGCCCAAAAAATCTCTATCAGTGCACCCCTATTATTCTGCACATACTTATTGACTTCGTAAAGTTCTCCACAAACAGCTCAGCCTCAAAGATTATTTCTAATGCTAGTAAGAATAAAGTGCATATAGGTTCCTTGTGGCACAAAGTTCCATCTAGGTCATGGGCACTCAGTGCTGCTTTTGTACTAATGGGTATTTGGAACAGTGGGTATTTGGAGCACACAATATGGGTGAGGGGACATTATGCATTATTCCAAAATCCTGTCAGAGTTTGGTTCGTACTTTTAAATATAGCTGTAGGATAGCTTGTTTTTCTAAAAAAGATCAAAATAGCTAACATATTTATTAAATCTAAATATCCCTTTTTCTTACACATCTTTATTTTTATTAAAAATAAAAATACCAGAATGCAGGAAAACTCCTGAGCATAGATGTATTCATACATAAAGATGCATGAAAACAGTAGCTGAAAACAGATTTTTTTTCACAAATTGCTTTCTGCATGCATCTGATCCTTCCCTCAACTTCAATTGTGTGAAGTTTCAGAGGGACTCTCTGCTCAGAGAAACCAATGTTTTCATCAAAACATAATACGCAGTATAGACTAATCATGATAAGACCTATTATATATTTATATGTAATGTGTTTAAAAATTCAGTGGTACTGGAAATCTTCCAGTTAAGATAGAGAACTTCAAGGAAGCTGATTCTGTCAGTCCCCTTCCCCAGGATGTAAAACTGCACAGCAGTACTGTTAGCTTCATAACACATTCCACCACAGAACTTTAATTTCCCAATACTGTGTTTTAATGTTTCTTCTTTACAATGTACTCTAGATATCTTCCCATAAAAATGATACTCTACTGTCATTAAAGGTTTTAATAGGGAATTTAGGAAAAAACTGTGTTTGAAAGATTTTAAAAATCCTTTTCTATCACTTACGGCAATTTGTCTCCATTATTGGGAAGAAAAGCTTTGCCCAAATTTTTCTTTGATTCTGCCAATCTATATCGCCTTCTTAGCTGAACAGGGTTTGAATAGGCTTCACCTTCAAAAACCCTCACAAACTGGGGCTCAAAATAACCTGCTTGAAGAGCTGATAACATTTTGCTGCCTCCAGGTAATATCTGCTTGTTCTTGCTTGCAGCTTCATTAAAAGGACCTTTAAAGACATGAAGGGGTCATAAATATTAACTCAACTATACACTTTTTCAGTTTTCATTTAAAAATGAAATGTTCTAAATAGAAACACTGTGGATCTCGATGGATCAAAAGAACTGATACTGCAATACAGAATTTTTCACCTGTAAATTCTATGGGTAAGTTGGTAGTGACAGAAGACTGATACTCAGTCAAGTTTCTAGGGAATGTGTACGGAACACAAAAAACCTTTTGGAATTAGTACCTTTCAGGGGAGGCCATAACTATTTTGTATTAACATCACTTCAAAAGAGCAGAATTATACTAAATGTCAAATGCTGTTACCCTTTACCATTATGAGTAATACTTTGAGTATCCATGATTAATTCTACTGAACAAACATAGTAAGGAAAGAAAAACCAGCCATAAATTTAAAAAAATTCTCTCTCATCTACATAGGTCAAATCAGAACAGAGAAATAAAACTGAATGCCCAATTTAAACTACTGAGAGTATAATCTTACAAAATAAGTTCCTGCTG